ACAAATTCGCGGAAATGACTCGTATAGTAAAGTCACAGTAGGCCTAGTAGCATTTGCTATTTTGTTGCCTCCAAAATAGTACAGTCACTGGTTTGTCCTGCCTCTTGTCTGTGTTTGTAATGTCCGGTAATGATTAACTCTTTTATCAGTAGATGTGCAGAAATTTCCTCTGAAGATTCGCTCTGAAGTCACAGTAAAGATGACGGAAAGAATGTTTGAAGAGAAACAGCATGCCTCCCTCTATCAAAAATATCGATTTGATCCACCAGATGAGCTGACGGAGCTTATTCTCCAGTATCTGGACAAAAAGGTAAGACCTGTCGTGTTACTAGTGTAGGCTATGTTTTGAGCGCAACAATCTGACATGTTCGTCCAAGGTGTCGTGTTTGTGCACGACAGCTGAATCACTGCATGTTTGTTTGATAACTGTGAGACCCTTCCAATATGGAGCACATACATTATAAAACCATTTTAATATTATTGTGATAATAATGACAATAAACTTTAATAAGAACATACTAATGCGGTTATAGTTATATTTATAGGCTACTACTAATAAGAAATATAGAAATATAAATTAATAGTACAATATAATGTTAATTTTGATTGTATAAGATAGCACTGTGGGGTTTATTAGCATTTTACCATGTCTAATATATCATGGTAACACTATGGTACTGTTTCTAAGTTACCACCAGAGGCCAGTCATAAGTGCAAATATGGCAAACTCATAACTTAACACCTCTGAAGTCACACAAAAGGAACTGATGTTACAAAACCTATGCCAATAACGTATTTACTGTATATTATTTAATATGTGAAAAAATAATAATAAGCTATTATCTCATAATGTTTAATGGTAAACACTTGCTTCTCAGAAAGGAAAGCCCCATCAGCTGGCTGTGGATTTGGGCTGTGGAACGGGGCAGACCTCTCGTCCCCTGACGGCATATTTTGAGCAGGTTGTGGGCATTGATGTCAGTAAATCTCAGGTGGAGCAGGCGAGAGCAGTGCCAGGGTTCCCTAACCTCAGCTACAGGTCAGTAATGCATGGTTCTGCCCTTCCTTAAAAAAAAAAAAAAACATTCTTGTTCCATGGACTATTTGATCTGATAATGTAAAAGATATGGAACAATGTACCATTACCTATGTATAAGTTTAAAGACCAGATTAGGTTTTTTGAGACACAACATTGTGCAGTAAAGTGCTAAAAGATTACTGTGGTCTCGTCCCTATCATGTTTATCATTAAATGACAGAGTAGGCACAGCAGAGGAGCTGCCATTCCCAGATGGCTCAGTGGACCTGCTGACGGCTGCGTCTGCAGCTCATTGGTTTGATGCTGAACATTTCATAAAGGAGGCTACACGTGTCCTGAAGCCACGTGGCTGCTTGGCTCTCTTTGGCTATGGAGACAATGTGAAAATACACTATGAATCCTGTGGTGATCAACTTAATAACATATATATATATCTCAATGAAACAAGAGTATCTAGAGAGCAGGTTTAGTAAATTGGCACTGTTTAATATGTAAATGCCAAAGCTTCAGCTTACTGAATACATGTTTAGCAACTTTAACTTTTGCCAGCCATTTCACTAAAGGTTAATATGCTCATAATAACTGCTAATTGCACGCTTGTATAATTTATCCTGCTAGGTAAAGCAAATACTGCTGCCTTATACAAGCAGTAAGGTAACTGGGGCCAACAGCAAGCTAAAGGACTTATTTGAAGCCATACCCTACCCAGATAAAGAGAGGTAAAGCAGAGCACAGCACTCACTGTAATGAATAATTAACCATCTGTGTCAATGAGCCTCTACACAAATCTGCTTGTCACATTTTCTTTCTTTTGTATAGGTACATTTGTGTGTAAATAAAACTTGTTGATTATACATTATTTAAAAAAAAAAAAAAAAATTCTAAAGCATTATATTTTACATGTTTTGTTTTAAATAATGTCATCACTGACATGAGTTGCAGTTGTAGATTCTAACAATTTTTTAATAATCTTCTGTCTTTGTAAGGATTGAAATAATTCCAATAAAGCAGCAGCTGAGCATCAAGAATGTAATTGGTTTTATTGAGACATTCTCCATGTACCAAGCCTATCTGAGAGCCGATCCAAGCGCTGCAACCACGCTGCTGGAGAGAACAACATCACGGTAATTACTTCTTTCTGAGAAATTTCAACACTTCAGGCACTTTTACTGTCATGCAACGTTGATTGTATAACACAAAATTAGACTGCATGTTTCTTATTAAAGGAAATTTGCTTTCTGCCCTTTATAGATCATGTTGTTTTTCTTGTCACTTATTCTGTTCCAGTATTCTAGAGGAGATGAAAGTGTCATCAACAGAGGCCAAAGTGAACTTTATAATGGAGTACTTCTGTGTGCTTGCATGTAAACCTGAGTGACACATGAGCCACCTCACCTGTACTATCATCCCAGGTGTTTAGCTACTGTAGTTCCTACAAAAGGTTTAATCTTACTTTCTTAATCAAGTTGTTAGCAAATGTGTGGTCTTACAAACACTATTTTTTTTTATATAATTACACATGAAAAATTCTGAAAATATAAACCACTTAGTATTTGCACTATGCATTATGATGTTGCACAATGTTAATTAGAATTCATTTCCTCTACAACATGCAGGCATTGATGTAATGTTGTTTAAAATAACAATAAAATCAATGTTTATTTGTTTTTTGTTTTTGCAGTTGTGTAGTTTGTTCACATGAATAGTAAAAAAATTCCCTGCATGTCACGGAAATGTTTACTCTATCTGGGTGTTGTAAAAATGTAAATTAATCTTTCTTAACATCCACACTTTACATTCACATACACCTTTTATTCCATAAGCGTGTTGTTCTTTAGCAGTATCAACATCTACAGATTATGCCTTTCTATACTTTTATTTTTTTCATGTACTCTCTTTTAATTTTGTAAGGTATATCCATTTTCATTAACCTTTCTGCTTACGTCACTTCTTTCACAAAAGATCTCATGATTCTAAACTAAACAGAGATGTCTTTCAAAATCACGCTAACATTGAAACCACAATTTTCCATGCCCTGATATCACTGTGAATGTTTTATTCAGCATGACATCTGGTTAGCCCGGAAACCTTTGATCCCTTTCCGGTCATTGAGATGTTTATTAATTTTGAAAGAACTTTTAGTCCTGAGTGAATGTGAAAAATCTCTGTGTGAGGCTCAAGTAATCATTAGCAAACTGGGCACATAACGGTTGCCTCAAAAAAAAAATTTAAACAGCTTTGCGCTATTTGCATGGTTGATACTGTCTCTCAGTGTGGGAAGAAAGAAGCAAAGCCTGAAACCTAAGATGACTCCTCCCCTTTACATCCTAATTTGATTTCCTCGGGCTAGTATGCTGACTGTTTAAATCCCTGCAGCTTTCTGACTTGTACAGCTGTCAAAAATGGCTGTACGTTTGTTTGAAGATAGAGAACATGCAAACTCATACTGGAAGTACCGAATTTCTCCTTCTGAAGAGCTCATTGACAAGGTTCTACAGTTCCACAGGAGTAATGTAAGACTTTTATAACGGTTTGTTGTTTTTTTATTCATCAGTCTGCCATCTGTGTCATTTCATTTACAATTGCATATATTGCTTACTGCATTTTCTCAGAAAAATTCAGCCAATGACCTGGCAATAGATGTTGGCTGTGGGTCAGGGCAGGGAACGTTGCTCCTAGCACCACATTTTACTCGTGTGGTCGGGACAGACATCAGTCCTGCTCAACTGGAGATGGGGAGGAAACATGTTAACGTTTCAAACATCTCTTACAGGTAGGCAAACCTGAATTGGATGTTACTGCATGTGTGACAGCTTTACTTTGTGTAAACCTCCTGTCATGTTTACCTTCCATCATCCAGACAGTATACAATCATTAACACATAGCACTCACATTTAGCAACAGTTTAACTACAAAATTAAGTGTTAATCTGAAAAGTTGTGCAACTGAGTATTATGGCATTATGGTATATTCATTATGGAACTGGGCCATTATGGCATTTCTGTCACAATAGACATCTCTGTCACCCCTGCATATGCACACCATATCAAACTAATCAAGCACAAAGATTTGTTCATAGAGTTTTGTTTTTCATATGAATTAAATTTCATTCATTTATTCCTTTATTCCAGAAACATTTATTCAAAGTGACTTACAAATGATCTGCATGACTGTTGTCGTGATTCAGCAGGTAGAATCTGCTAACTTTTTCCCATTTTCTGAGCTGATTTTGGGGGGACAATCTGCAGATTTACACAAAGAAAAAAAAAGTGTTACATGGAATGAAAGTATTTGTCCGAAATTTATCTTGATGTTCTAAAATAACTAAAACTGAAATAAAATGTGATAGCTATGTAGACATTTAAAAACAACAAAACTAATAAAAACAACAAAAACAAACAAAATTACTAAAACTTTACCTAAAATGAAAATGACAGCAGAAATAATTCAACAGAAATATAATAGTACATGAATGGTACTAAAATAACATTGCTTTACAATAAGGTGTCAGTGTAGGATGTGTACGATGGGGGATGGGGGGTGGTTATGGGGGGGCCATCTTTTGAAAATCTGCTTAAGGCCCCTAAAATGCTAGGGCCAGCCCTGCTGACATTTCAATGCTTGCCAGCTGTCTAAACATCTGTGTGTGTCACATAATCTATGAGAACATTTTAGAATTGGAAAAAAATTGGAAAATTATCAAAAATATCGAAATTTCTGAATAAATGAACTTTTCAACGACATTCTAATTTATTGAGATGCACCTATATATGACCCATAAGTCATAATATTAAATCATTTACTCAACAAACATTACTCACAGCATTTAACAGTACTAGACTGATTAAACTTATAGTTCACTGTTTGTTCAGCAAATAGTTCATGAAACATGACATGTTTTTGACATAAAATAAACAAAAATTCTGTTACATGTGCATATACATCTGTCTCATTACAGTATTATGCAGCCCTGCAGCCTTTCCGGAGCCCTTACCTAGGTTCCAGCCCCTTTGAACTTTACAAGAAAACATATGACTCTCTCCAGTATCCAGTCAAAGAATGGTAATGTAGTTGTATACAAACTAGCTGTTAAAATATTAAATTTATAGATAATTAAGTAGGTCAAGACAGTTCAAAGTGCAATCAGTCTTAGGTTTAGAAACTGAAGAAGGTTTTATTAGGCTATGTTTAAGTAGCATTTGTTATATTGCGACTATAACCACAGTTATTGCCACATAACAAGGGCTCATTATGCCTTGAGCACCTTTTATGTAATGGATGCTACATTATAAAATAAGAAGGATTTCAATTTGAACATTTAAATGTAATTTTATTCATTAAGTGGCCCTGGCATAACAGAGTGTTGCTATCTCGGATAAAAAAAATGCTGTTACTTTATTGTTGTTTATAACATGGCTGGAATGTTGCATTGACCAGTCAGAAGCCGGACTGCAACTGTGTTTTGTCTCTAGGCAGGACATTTTTTGGGTGAGGAAGCCCGTCCACGTCTCTGGCTACATCGGCATGGTGGAGTCTTTCTCCACTTTCCAGACATTCTTAAAAAAAATATCCAGAAGAGGCCAGATGACTCTCACAGGACATTGAACAAAGGTATTAGACTTAGAGTTCTCTTATGTAATTTCTGTGTAATATATAGGCTTCTCCTGTGTGTATCACATCATCTCTCTCTCTCTCTTTTTCTCACACACCATTTTTCCTGTCAAGACTGTTGCGTGCAATGGGCGTGACATCCTCGGAGACAGAAGTTATCATGGAAGTTAAATACTTCTATTTTATAGCCTACAAGCCGGCAAATGACTGAGTCAAATATTGTCATCAATGGAAAGCTTATGATGTAAAATCTCAATTTCAAAAAATTGACCCTTATGACTGGTTTTGTGGTCCACGGTTGGTCACATATTCGAGAATGATCAACTGAGTTTCTAAATTCCATAACCACCAGGTTTCATAACCATCAAATAAAAAGTTTCCATACACATGAGATCGTAATCCTTATTTTCAAAATTAAATGAACAAATTTAATTTTAGTTAAACTTGATTTTTTTTCGATTTAGGTTATTTAGTTAAAAATCCAAATCATTGCAGAAGGTTCAGGTCATTGTCTCTGTGCATAAATTGCAGCCTATATTAAATGTTTGTCTGAATAAATGAACAGACGCAGACAAGAACCGTCTTTCACTGACCCGCGTACAAAGAAGCGATCATTTCAAAGTGTATTTGAAGGAGCGTCCACCAGGGTGCAGTGTTGACTCGATCATACAGCAGTACCTGCGACTGCGAGAGAGAAGAGAAGCAGGTCTACCAAACATCCACGCAGCTGCCTGTGATGACACGACCCAGCAATTCCACGGTACAGTGATTTAACACAGGCACGGCTTCAAAACACAAACAGAAACAACGGAAACTGAGAGTGACTTTTCTGTGTACACTTCAAAATGTTTACCGCAATTCTCTGAAACAATCCAGCGCTTGCTTGAACCACTGGTATGTTTTTTAGCTGTGAGGTTTTAAATCATGCTTATTTCTCTTTTTATCTACAAATGTCTTTAAGAGTAATTATCATGGTTCTCTTTTTGGGTAGGCCTACAAGCAGGACCATATATTGTAATAAAATGTGTTAGTGGTTTGGCATTGTGTGTCTCTGATAATGCACAAATAGCCAAAGGGTGAATGGATAACAGGATCTGTGTGTTCAAATCGCTTACCTAGAAAAGTCATGCACATCAAATGACAGATGAGACAGTGAATGTAACAGAATATAGTGCCTATGCTCATATGTGAGGCAGTTGATAGGCTACACTACACAAACAGTTGACTTATTCTCAGTGTTGGGAAGGTTACTTTGAAAATGTAATAGGTTACAGATTACAAGTTACCCTGTTTAAAATGTAATAGTAGTGTAACTTTTTTAATTACTTTATTAAAGTAATGTAATTGATTACTTTTGCACTCCACACTGTAAAATCCAATAGTTTACCTTACTTAGATATAATTAGTTATCTTTACTTAGTTGTTATACTTACTCGGTTTTATTAAGTAACAGCTAATTTTAAGGCGAATAAAACAACTTACTTGCTGCAATGAGTAACTCTTACTTAAAATATTCAAGTAGCCACAACAAAACCGATGACATTAATACACCAGTGGGAGGCAGCAGTGCGCTAATGTGTTGCTAATGTGCAACAAAACAACAGAAGAAGAAATACGGAAGGTTAGAGAGCATGCGCAACAAGCAACTTTTTTTTTATTTTTTTTTTAATTTGAGCGCCGAATTTGCTGAGACTACTTGCATTTTTACCACTGGACAAAGACTGATTACTTCTATACAATAATAATAATAAGGTAAGTTTCAAAAAATAATTGTCAATGTATCTTTCTGTGTGCTGCTAATTTTAACTGACTAACCTTGTCAGCGGTGTTAGCTAACAGATACCAAAGATATTTGCTATTCTGCTGTTAGAAAAAAGACTGTACAAATACAGAACTTGTGGCATATTTTGGCGAATTTAAGACTTTTTTAACTTTTCAAACTGAAACATTTGTAGCTAGTTAAAAAATGAAAAGTCAGAGGTACAATTCAAGAACATGCCAAAAGTCCTCAAGATGAGCTCACAGTAGGTTTTAAAGTCAATCTTTATGTGCCACTGATAATTAATTGTTTACTGTAATCTTTTGCAGTGTTAACACTATAATTTTATAACACTGAGGCTTTGGTCACTTAAGTTATTTTTAAGTTAACCATGTTATTAATATTTTTAATACATCACAATCATAGTCATCACGTGATCACACATTTAAGGTTTAAACTGAATGAGCTCTTTGTCTTGCAGTAATTATTGCTTTGCTGTAGTAACACTTACTACTGTAATACAGAGGAAATGCTGCTTTTCAATTGCTTTTATGACTGAGGCCTCAAGTAGATATGTATAGAAGTTTTCTTTCTTTCTTGTAAAGTATGCAAATATCAAGGAATGAATGTGTCTGTAATCTACAATTCACAACAATAGTGGAACTTGCCTTTAACTGAAGAGTTATTTGTCATATTTAGGACAAGTGCTTGTGGCAGCTGTCTTCTCTGAACACACGTTTCGGCCTCAGTACACTGAAGGTAAGGTATTTCATGTTTAATCTCTTATACAGCAGTAGAGCAGTTTTTGACTCAATCATATGCTACACTTTATTTACAATTTCAAATAATTTCTTGCGGATGAAGTACACATGTAGCCACTGTATTTATTTTCTTTTTTTCACAGATCTAAGAAAACACTTCACACCCTACAACCCCTAAAAATGTATGTTGCTACCTTAAATGTTTTCAATATTTTTTATTATATTTAATAATAATATTTAAAATAAACCATGTCATTGACTTCTTTATTGACACTTTGACAAACATATTTGTACTGTAATTTTTGAATGTCTTAAACTTGTTTTTCTTTTTTTACTTCTAGAACCCAGATTTGACAGCAGTGCACACCCATCTGAGGCCGACCTGTTTTACTTCATGATCACCCCAGATACTTCTACAACTAACCCGCTTTGTAAGTTCTCATATTAGCTACACCTTAAAGAAGCACATCATTTTGGGAAAATTTCCTGTGTATTTGCTGGTAAATTACTGAGATACTTTTATAAAGATTAATGTTGATTATATACCTAGTTCAACAAAAAATGAAAATGATGCCACTTAATCTCCCTCCTGTCATTCCATCCCATAAAAAAGTGTGCATCTTCAAGACATGAATGACGATATTAACCCCAAAACTCTGACACCCAAGAAACCATAAAATAAATCCATAGGAATGGAGCCGTGTAATCTACTTTTGGGCCAAACTGTTATTTCCACTTGAACTTGGTTAGGTCTGACACTGAAGCGTCCGAATACACAGTGACCCATCACACTCCACATTTTAATCCATTGTGAAATATTTTCATCCTGACTGAGCCGATGGACCTGAGCTTTTGAATCATCTGCCACTTCACACACACAGGATCTGAGACCTGGGCTCAACTCTCCTGTAGCTCTCGCATACTAAATGTGAGCTCTAGTTTCTCATATCAGTGTGAAAAGAGGCTAAGTACACTTTTTGCAACACTAAAATGATGAACCGTACTAAACATATGCAACAACATGGTAAACAGGTTTTTAAAAGGACAAACAGAAATTCGTTATCAAAGAGCACTTGCAGCATTTTGTTAGATAGAAAATGCTTTCATTAAACTAAGGCGATATTTGTGTGGCTCAGTTTGATTTTGAACATGGCTTTTTAATGGGATTCCGATTTCAAATGAAGCTTATCTACACAGCATTCCCTATATATGGCATACACCTTTTAATAAAAGGGGTCCTATTATGCTCTTTTACAAAGTCTTGATTTTGTTTTGGGGGTGTACTAGAACAGGCTCTCATACTCGGTTGTTCGAAAAACACATTATTTTTCACATATTTTACATTATTACAACACCTCTCTCC